CAAGCTCGAATTCAGGATGGGTGTCTTGAAACACAATCAAAAGAATCCAAGATAGGTGGAATGATTTTGCCCTCTTGGATCGGGTTCCAATGAAGAGGGTTCATCCTCATMTTCCTCTTGTTCYACCAGGAGGCAGAAAAGTCTCTTGCACTTGTGCCCTGCTGAGTAAAGTTCATCACAATTAAAACACTGTCCCCTCGCCTTGCGTTCCGCCATCTCAGCCATGAACAAGTGCTTAATAGGGGGTGCAACAACGCTGCTCCCCACACTGGGTGCTGATCTGGAATTGTTGCTCGTCTGTGGTTTCCGTTCTTGGCTAGCTGCTGAAGATGGAGCCATTCCGAGTGGTTCCGGGGATGCCCATGCTACTGGAGGCCGCCCTATACTGATACTTCTGTAGTTGAGTTGCAGCTTGCGTTCAAAGGCGCGAGCCAAATTCATAGCAGTAACCAGATTGGGGGGATTTTGCATCTCCACATCCACCCTCAAGGTTTCTGCTAACCCCGCAGTGAACATGTCAACCTGCTGGTCTGATCGCACCGATGATGCTCTTGCAAGGAGGGTCTGAAACTGACGCTGATATTCAGCCACCGTTCCCATCTGTTTGAGGTTGATTAATTCGCCTAATGGGTTGCTTGTTAATGGGGGCCCAAATCTAAGAAGGCAGTAGGATTTGAATTGGGTCCAACTGAGCCCGGGTTCCTCCTGCTCCAATTTATAGAACTAGAGCTACGCCTCCTCCGTCATGTGGAATGTGGCTAAGCTTACCTTGTTGCTGTCCCCTATCCGTTGGTTGCGGAAGAACTGCTCACATCTGTACAGCCATCACAAAGGATCTCCGGTGCCATTGTAAGAAGGGAACTCCAACCTGCTGTACTTGGGAACGACCGCGGCTACTAGGGCGACGACTTGCTGTTCGCCGGACGATTCCGTCCAGTCTGGTCGGCGGCTGTTTGTGGTTGCAGCCCCTTCTGGATTCCTTTCCTTGTTAGAGAAATACAACTCCATCAAGTGCCGTAACTCTCGGACATCGTCCTTGATTTCGCGTACCTCCGTGCTGTTCTCCACGAGCCTGTGCTCTAGTTCGTGGACCCTGAACGTCAACTACTCCAGATTGCCCATGACGTTTGGCTCTGATACCAAATTGTTATGGGCCCGCGAATAGGATCTTGTCACGGGTCGGTTCACGGGGAAAACCTCCTGTTTTCCCTTGTTCCTCCCTTTTCTTGAAGAACCTATCTTGCCGCCCTTAAGGTGATTTGTTCAAGAGATCACCAACTCTCCTTTGCTCTCTTTCTTGACTGAAATTTTCGATGCCTTTATTGAATAATATCAGCTCCTTAAATAGGAGATTACAAGAGATAAGAGTCCTACTTTTAGGAAGACTCCTTGCTAATTAGGAAGACTCCTTACTAATCTATCCTACTGAACTGATAAGATAAGATAAGACTGAACTGATAAGATAAGACTCCCTTAATCTATCCTACTGAACTAATAAGATAAGAACTGTATCTAGCTAGAATTAGATAAGATGAGAATCAACAAATCTTGCTCCCTTTACTGCTGCTGCCGGCGGTGATATGTTTTCCCAATAAAAGCGTCCACATCACCTTCTATGTCAATAATTACATGTTTCTATTGATGAAAAAAAATTCAAAGAAATGTAGGATAAGGATGGTTAAGGGTAACATCTTATTTTTGATAAGCAAGGCTAGGAAATCAATCCATAAAATGAAAAAAAGAAAAAAAAAAGGCTAGGTTTATTGAAAACATCCAATTTTCTTCATAATCCATTTTCTAGTTTCATTTGTTTTCTATTGTTTTTCTATTAGTAACTGAAACTTATTTATTAATATAAAACATCATAAGTACAAAGCTTTCATACAGCCTACTTTTTGGCTAGATGTATCAGGCAAGCCTAACCCATTTAATTATATACTTTAGATCTGAGCCCAAAACAACTGTGCTCTAATCACCTTATAGCACAATCTTTCCAAGTAAATGTCTCTTGTCAATCTTAAAGCCTAAAGTGCAGCCATCAGCTACACTCAGAGTTCCCAATTCCTATTGGGCCTGAAAATAACACTACAATATATCTACTTTCATTTATAAATACACCTCCCACTACAAAAGACCTGGATTCCCCATTTGTTTTCTATCGTTCCTCACTAGCAGAACAGTGTTCATCAAGTTGGTACCAAAACACCATTAGGGTGTATGGTGTCAACTCATATGCAAGGGCCACCCTCAACTTCAAAATAATTTGATGCTATCTGAGATGCATACCCCTTCACTAACTCCAGCAGAGAAGACCCTTAGCTCCTTGCAACAAGAAATGGATTATCAGATCAGAAAGCTATAGAACAATTCTTGAAGAAACCATACAATCATTGTTCTAAGATCTTGTTATTAAGCAAGCTAAGTTGTTTAAGAGGTTTGACAGGGGAGAAGCTGAAGCTATCAGATTGGTCCCTGATATTCTAGTGTGGGGATTTCTTATTGTATGTTTAATTGAGAATCAAGTCCAATCCCTGGGTTGGTCCTGCCCAGGTAACAATATTTTGAATGTTTTCACAAGCTAAGATACTTTATTCCCCATCCTCTGTTACTCTATAATGCAGCCCCTTAGAGAATAGTCATATAAGGTGTGCTTCTGCCACCCCTTTGCCCCCTTTGTCTCAGTACAAAGGTTTTCTGACCAAAACAATTTGCTGCAACCTAAAGTTTTCTTAGAACAGATTTGGTCAAGTATAATTCATTTAGCAGTTCCAGTTCCACTTATGGATTTATAATAATTCTGTAACTAAAATATTTAAAGATTTTCTTTGATAGGTAACTAAGACATCTCAGATTAGCCAAACAAGGGAGTATCACATCAGTGGTATCTTGTGTTCTCAAGTCAGCATTACCAGTAATGTGGTAAGCCCTTCTAATGTATGGAATAATAATAGTTTCTTCTGATTTTGCAATTCATAAAGGTTTGGTATGAATTTGGATAAGTTTGGCTGTGAATCTGGATGATATGTACAAATTGCATCGCACTAGGAATTGGAAAAGGAAAGTAATTGAATTTTTTTTTTTTTGATCAGTAAGGAAAGTAATTGAAAATTCTAATTCGTTCTAAGCACTTCGAAGTCTAGCTTAGCCTTCTTCCTGTTGATTAAACAATTAAATGACACTTTCTTTTTCTGAATATTAACATAAACAGACTGGGGTCTGTCTCGATAAAATCGGAAGAAAGAAAGGATCCACTCCATGGAAATCTATATTTAAAAAATTGCACCAATAAATGAGGATATAATAACTTATAATCTTAGCCACGGCGTAACCCTAATCCTAGCTTGACCCTAATAACCTCCAACAGCCAATCCAGAAATAATCAACGTCCACCTATTATAATGAAAAGCAATTAAAAGGAAAAGAAAGAAAAAAAAATCAAGTTCTCGAGGTCATAGAGCTTGAGAAAAGCTTAATGGAAGCATAATAAGTCGAAAATTCGGACAAGCATATATCTATATTTGTTAAACATAAAGAAGCCAGAGTTCCATCGGTACCTGAAACTAACAGCGGTACAGATCTATCCACCACTCGGACGAGACGCTTCGCCAATCGATCAGATTCCATAAATATTCAAACCGGCGACATGAAAGACAGAAAATCGAGCCGTCGTTCTCCACTTTTCTCAGGAATAACCAACCAAACGATTAACCAGACCTGCCAAAAGCTCCAATATAGAACTGGTTTTATCACCCCAAAACGCCGTTCTCCGGCCGGTTTAACCGGAATCTGAACCATCGCCGGCTCTACCACGGCCGTCGATGTCTGTTCCATCTACTTAGAACCGGTCCAATGGCAGAGTTGACCTCGTAGATACCGGCTCATCCGGTAAAACCCGATCTGGTCGGAAGAGAAATAAAAACCCGTTGTCCACACAGATATAACTGGTTCATCCGGTTAAACGTCAATTCTCTCCAATGGTTTATAAACAACGAACCAGCCTGTCGCTCAATTTCTCCCTTCAACCGAAATAGAAACTTCTCTCCCCCTTCCTCCCCTCTCCCCCTCTTTCTCTCTCTTTCTCCCGTTCACTCTCTCTCTCTTCTTGGTTCGTCGTCGGAGCTGAAAAGACAGAACTGCTAGATCACAGGTGAGTAAAAATGTAAAATATGCTTTTTTTCTTCGATATGTTTTCTTTCCTCCGGCAGTTAGATTGTGAAAATGTCTTAAGTTGTAGGTAGTTCCATGTAGTATTGGTCTGTTATTTGCAATGAAGAACGCTTTTAAGTGTTTTTTTTTGGATAAATTGATTTGCTTTTTATGTCTTTTGAAGAGGGAAGTGCTTGTTGTGTTATGGACTAGTTGCTGCATTGCTCTTCCACTTAGGTTGCCAGTCCTGCTTTCAGTAATCGTTAGTTGATGATGGAGACTGAACTGGAACCTATGCCTATTGGTGCACTGAAACGCGACGTAGCATGGAAGCACTGCCAAATGTTTAAGTTTGAGAATCGAACCCGACTCAAATGCATCTATTGTGGAAAGATGTTTTCGGGTGGGGGAATTCATAGAATTAAAGAACACTTAGCTGGTCAGAAAGGAAATGGAGCTACCTGCCCTAGAGTGCATCCAGATGTTCGGCGTATCATGCGACAAAGCCTGGAAGGGTCCATTGTAAAATCGAGGAGGAAACAAAAGAGACCAGAAGATATTCAGAATCGTCTCTTGGGCACCGGTGAGATGGAAACAATGATTACTCAGAGTGAAGCAATTACTGGACTCCAGTTGCTTGCGGCCCCTGATGCAGGGGAACCACATTTGAGATTGTTAGCCAAGGAAGAGGAAGGAATGACTAATAGAAGAATGATAGGGAGAACTGGAAATACTTCTTCTCCTCCTGTTACTCCTCATGCTCATCCCACCAGTAACCTTACCTTAGGATTACCAAAGGGGAAGGATCAAGTGCATATGGCAATTGGTAGGTTTCTCTATGATGTTGGGGCACCTCTGGATGCAGTCAACTCTGTCTATTTTCAACCAATGATTGATGCTATTGTATCAGAAGGACTAGGGCTCAAAGCACCATCATATCATGATATTCGAGGCTGGATTTTAAAGAATTCAGTTGAAGAAGTGAAGGGTGTAGTGGATCAATATAAAGGAACATGGGCAAAGACTGGATGTTCTATCCTAGCTGATGAATGGACAACAGAAACGGGTAGAATTTTGATACATTTCTTGGTTTACTGTCCTGAAGGGACAGTGTTTCTGAAATTTGTTGATGCATCAGATATAGTTCGATCACCTGATGTTCTGTATGAATTGCTTAAGAATGTTGTGGAAGAAGTTGGGGTGCAAAATGTATTGCAAGTGATTACAGATAGTGCAGATCACTATATTATTGCTGGGAAAAAGCTAACTGACACATTCCCTACCATGTATTGGACACCATGTGCAGCTCGTTGCATAAATTTGATGCTTGAGGATTTCGGAAAATTTGAATGGATAAATGCAATACTTGAGCATGTTAAATCAATGACAAGATTCATTTATAATCATGTTGTGGTTTTGAATATGATGAGAAAGTATACATATGGAAAAGATTTAATACAACCTGCACTTACCCGCTCTGCAACAGACTTCACAATCTTGCAAAACATGGTTAATCTTAAAAGTAATTTGCAGGACATGGTTACTTCACAGGAGTGGATGGACTGTCCATATTCAAAGAAGCCAGAGGGGCTTACAATGATTGATATCATCTATAGTCAGTCATTTTGGTCTTCATGCAGTAGTATTATTCATTTAACAGAACCACTCTTGCGTGTTCTAAGAATGGTTGGTAGTCATAAAAGGCCTGCAATGGGCTATATATATGAATGCATGTATAGAGCAAAAGAGGCAATTAAGAAAGAATTTGTTGAAAAGAAGGATTACTTGGTTTATTGGAATGTTATAGATCAAAGATGGAATAAGCAATTAACACGTCCTCTCCAGGCGGCAGGTTTCTATCTTAATCCTAAATTTTTCTACAGCATTGAAGGAGATGTACATAATGAAATCATGTCAGGGATGTTGGATTGTATTGAGAGGTTAGTATCTGAGATAAAAATTCAAGACAAAATTACCAAAGAATTGAGCTCTTACAAGAATGCTGTTGGGGATTTTGGGCGAAAGATGGCAATTAGAGCAAGAAATACCATGCTTCCTGGTATGAATTCTTTCTTTTAGATGTAATTATGTTTTTGTGTCATGTTTTATATTGGTGTTTCATTTACTCATTTGTTTAATTAATTGGCTTACGTTCTATATTGCACTGTGAGAGCAGGGAAAACTGACATTCTTTCCTTTTATATACACAAAAGAGATGGGATTGTTTCCCTCTCTTCTCTCTTTTCTTGGGGGTTGGGCAGGGAATTTTGTTTCTAACATGAACAGACATTTTTGAGGGTCACATTTGGCATATAACCAATTTTTATTCACAAGTTGCTTCACCTTGATTTAGCTTCATTGTCTATTTGAGATGACCTTTTCTGTTTTCGAATCTCATGCCATTTCCAATTTCCATGGTAATTTAGCTGTTTCTGAAAATTACAGTTCAGACTACATTTGTACAGGTCATATTTAATGTATCTTTGTAGGACAGATATAATCACAGTCAAATGATTCAACATGTCTAATTTATTCCTTCAATTGATAGCAAACTTTTATTAAATTCCCAGAAAATACCACTGGAGCCAAACTTAACTCACCTGATGGGTCAATTGTTCCCTATTGTATCTTGTTTTGTGCCCTAGCCCCTTATGGGCTTATGCATGCATGACAGGGGGAGGAAGTGATCTTCCTTTTTTTCTGCATTCTAATGTAGTATTCTATATATGAAAAAAAATGCAGTTTTCTATATATATATATATATATATATATATATTATTCTCACACCACTGTTTCTCTTAAAATCTTAATCTTCATAGCTGAATGGTGGTCTACTTATGGAGGAGGTTGCCCAAATTTGTCACGCTTGGCTATTCGTATTCTCAATCAAACTTGCAGTGCAGTTGGGTTCAAGCAAAATGAGATTTCCTTCAAGCAAATTCATAACGTCACAAGAAACCAGCTTGAGCATCAGAGGCTTAGTGACCTTGTTTTTGTTCAATATAATTTGCGGTTGCGGCAAAGGTAAGAAAAAAATAGTTGCATCCTTTTCGTACTGATTAAAAGTGTTTCATGATCATGCAGTGTATTTTGAACAGTTAAAGAACCTAAAAGGTGGAAAAAGAAAAAGAAAAGAGAGAATGCATTTGTGGAAAATGAATGACCAACAATTTTCTATTATTATGTACAGGCTTCTCAGAAAGAATCAAGAACTGGATGCTATGGACCCTATCTCCTTTGACAACATTGATACTGTTGAAAACTGGATCACTGAGAAGGAAGCAGTGACAATGGAAAATGGGAGTTCAGATTGGATGGCACTTGACCAACCTTTAGCTAATGCTATGCTGGCACCATCTCCAAATGACGAGGCTTATGGCTTGGATGCAGGTAATGTCAGTTCCTTAATTGTTAACTTTGACTGAAGTAGGTAAAATCAGTTAAGTTAATTTGGATAACAAACAGGGTTTGAAGATGATGAGATTTTCAATGGAGTCAGAGACGAAGAGGAGAATGGCCGTCAGTAGGGGATGTCACATTATTCAGGACTTTGAGGGTGGAATCCATAAGAACTGTTATTTATTGCTGATTTAAGAGGCTTGACTTGTTACTTGCCACATCTCCAGATAGTCCATGCCAATGAGAGGGTTATCTCATTTTATAATGCAGGACGAAAAGCCATGTAAATTACGTGTGTATTAGGAGTTTACAGTTGAAATAAGGTAAATCATTTGTCATCTTTTTCTTTTATTTCCAAGTTTCTTGCTTAGTAAATAATGATTCTCCTTCTTGTTTCCAGTTTAGTTCTACATCTAGATACTCTTAACATTGTTGGTATAATGGCTTCTGAAGCATGTAGAAATATAGGAGACTAGGCAAAACAAGAACAATGAACCTTTGTATATGTATCTGTGACTGACTGGAATTCTCTTCGAGAAAGCATAGACCTATTATTTTATTTTATTTTATTTTTTTGAGTCCTTGAATAGGACCCAGTTTATAGAATTACAGAATTTGATCATTTGTGCAATTGAAGAGAAGAAATTATTCTGTGAAAGTGAAACCGGCATCAAAGAATGAGTGAAATTTATGGTTCTCATTTCATAGCATTGCTATTATTGAAGATAGTCAAAGCTTCATGGGAGAAAGGTACTTAATGAAAGATGTAACTTTGGAGAGGGTAGGTAATCATTGGCCATTCCGTTATTGACCTTGTATTATCCGAATTTCCATGTCATTAGCTTCAATATCTTATAGCTGAATAGAATTCATTGTTTGATTATTTTCTAGATTAGAAGAGCATATTAATACCTAAACTAGTGAAGAAATGGATTGCCACTTGCTAACAAGCTGCCCGCGTAAACTTTGCTTTAGGGGAGGGAAGAAAGGGAAAAAAGGGACTGGGGAGGTGTCGCACAGCAGAGCTGATCTTGCAGAGTCAAGGGGCATGCTGGAAGATTTTTTTTTTGATGAATAAGGCATGCTGGAAGATTGGAAGCAACTTTTTTGACATCAGCACTTTGGTTTATGGCTTTATGCTACATATACAGAAAGGGCATGCCTGAAGCCTCTTCTGGTTGCGAAGCGAAGACGAGAATCAGCAATCACCAGTTAAGGGGCCCCAATTCCCATTTTCCAACTCCCAACTTAAAGTTGCTCCGCCGTAAAAGCAGACCAGGTTAATCGTAGCCAAACTAGTACTATCTCGTGATCATGTTTGTACTATTGTATGTATCTCTCAGATAGGAGCTTGGGACACACAGATGCATAAGAAAAGTGGCCGCTGAGTACAACGTCGCAGAGTGACAATCTACCATGGATGAGTATGAATGGTGCCGCATGCCGCGGAATTGCGAAGACTTTTCGTGGGGAACTGGACGGTTGTTGGGTAATAGGGTGTTAGAAAGTGGCGACAGGGTTTTTTTTTTCGACTTATTGCTTGCCGCCTTGTCCGGCTTCTTCCGGGGAGGAAGGCGCTTCGCTGAAGGGACAGAGTTTCCACTTCACGGTCATTATCTATATACTAGGAATGACCCCGTACTTATATCATTTAATTTAAAATTTACTATTTAACTATAAAAGTTAAATTAGAAAAATTAACATGGGTCTTACATTTTTGTATATAATTGACAATCTATTTTGACTTATTTTGTTTGAAAATCATTATTAATTTATGTTGTTTTTAATATGATTTAAGAGATTAAATAAAGTCTTGCTTGTAAGCAGTAAGCCACTTTAATTGGTATTTACTATTTTTTTGATAAATTTATTTTTAAAAGCTAAATTAGGTTATGTTTCCAATAAAAAGTTAAATCTAGTTTACAATTAATGAACTATTTCATTTAAAAGAATAAAATTCACACCATTTGTATTAATTGTTTAGTCATTTTTATGAATTTCATTTATTTTTATTTTATTTATTTAATATTTTAAATATTTTTAAGTTAAATTATTTGTTTAATCATTACTTTTGAAATGGTTGTCTTGGAATAAAATTCAGTTTTACCATAACATTTGAAGTGGCTACTTTTTAGGTATTAGGATGCTATGTGTGAATTTTAAGAGAGTGGAGTTATCACTTTTTTGTGAGTGGATAGACTTTTTTAAGAGTGAGAGTTTAACCTCCTCTAACATTCTATTTATTAAAATTTTACAATGCCATGTGTCTAAAGGGTAGGGTTGTTGTGTAAAGACCTTTTTAATATATAATATACTAGTGGGGACTTGTGCGATGCACAGGCTTTGTTAAATGAAAGTTAAACAATAGAAATATATAATTATTTTATATTTTAACTTTTCAATAACCAATTCGATTGAATTCAATCCGAGTTGGTCAATTTCCTAGTATTTTCGATCGGCTTTGGTCTAACATTTTTTCAATTCATCTAAATTAGGTTAGTTTCGATTTGGCCATTTGTAAATCGACCCGACAATAGATATATATTAAAATTTTATATTTTAAATATAATTTTTAATACGAGAAAGTAGGAAAATTCTTATATTTCTTTGTTTAAAATATTTTATAACATAAATTTAATTTTTTAATTTATTTTTTAATAATTATATTGTAATTTATTAAATTTAAATTTAACTTTTTAGTTTAAATCTTTTAATCAAAGAAACAAAATTGAAAATAGACCCAAACTGATACAATCCGAGTTGGTGAGTTTTCACTAATGGTTAATCAGTTTCAGGTGATAAATTTTCAATTTAACTAGGTCGATTTGGTTAGCGAAACAACCAGCAACCAAACTGAACCGATACTTGACCACTCCTAATTTCCGCTATATTAATAGTATAATCTCTAATAAATAAGATTAGTTTAATCTTCAATAATTATTTAAAATTTATACCAAAAATACACAATTATTGAAAACACATTTATAATGAAAATACAATAGATATCTACTAAAAATATATTAAAATAGTCAATAAATAGTATAATATCAAATAATAGTTTAAACTCTTATAAATATTAATTAATAAATTTTAAAAAATACATAATTACTAAAAAAATTATAACAAAATATAATAAATACGATAAATTAAATTTCAAAAGTTAAATAATAGTTGTTTAATCTCCAATAATTACTGACAATTTATTGTTATGTAACAAAACAAAAATAGATTTAAAAATAATTATTGAAAACATATTTATCAAAAAATACAATAAATAATTAATAAAAATAAAATAAATTTTAATTTTAATATATATATATATACAATGAATATACACTATTATTGTAAAATTATTACTAATAAATATTATATTTTTGAAAGTTATTATCTATAATTATTAAATGATATAAATGAAATTATTTATATACAATATTATTTAGTTATTTAAATAATATTGTTATTTAAATTTTTAAAACATTTATATATTGAATTTAATAATTCATAAAATTATAATTAGTACTATTATTACATAATTTGTCATTAATTTTTTAAAACATTAAATTATTATTAAGAATATTGTGAAATCTATGATAATTATTTTTCTTCTTTTAAGAAATTTTCAAAATTTATTACATAATTTCATTATTTTAAGTATTTGAAATTAAGCCATGTTAAATATTTCGTTATTTAAATATTTAAATAATATGTAAAATATTTAAAATTTTTATTATTTGATTATTTTTAATTTAATGTTATTATATTTTATTAAATATTTTGTTATATAATTATTTAGATATTTTTAATGTTTTCTTATTTAAGATATTTAGTTATTGAAATATTTAAATAATGTTTTATTTTTTAATGTTAAATTTTATTATTTGAATAACATTTAAATTGAATAATTCGTAAAATTATAATTTATATTGATACTACATAATTTCATGATGAATTTGTAAAAAATATAAAATGAAACTTTCTTTAGATAAATGTAGATAAAAATTGGGGGAGAGGATAAATATGAATTATAGATAGTTTAGGAGGGAATCTCTCTACTAAATTAGAGATAATTTAAGAGATAAATAGGAGTTAGAGATAATATTGGAGATAAATAGGAATTAGAGACAACTTAGGAGAAAGTGGGGGAAAGTGGTGCCACTTTAAACATTAGAAAAGAAAATCCCTCTTTCTTTATGGTTGTTAGAAATAGTTAAGCTTATATTATTTCTTTATTGGTTTAATGGGTAATTCTGTGGAATTAAAAAAATAAAAAATAAAAAACACAAGAAATTAAGAAGGGGGTTTGGAGCAAAGAGAGTCATGGTGACGTGGACTGTCTTGCTATATATATATACTAGTGGGAACCCATGCATTGCACGAGAAGACGGGTTTAGGAAAAGGTTCCCACTCCCTGTCAGGGATGGGGAATCCTCGAATTCCCCCCCCCCCCTAGTCTCGAGCGGGTTCATGGCAAGGCACCCACTCCTTGTTAGGGACGGGGAATCCTCGACTTTTCCCACCTTCTCTCTAGTGTCAGGTGGGTACAGGGCAAGGCACCCACTCCCTGTTAGGTATGGTGAATCTCTTGAATTTCCTTGCCTCGTCTCCAGTATTGGGTAGTTCAGGGCAAGGTATTTAGTCCCCGTTAGGGACGGGGAATCCTTGAATTCCCCCCTCCCCGTCCTTGTTCTTGGGCGAGTTCATGACAAGGCACCCACTCTTGGTCAAGGATGGGGAATCCTCAAATTTCCCTACTTCATCTCCAATGACGGATGGTTCATGGCAAGGCACACCACTTCCCCATTAGGGACAAGGAATCCTCAAATTTTCCCCGCCTCGTCCCCGATGTTGGGCTAGTTTAGGGCTAGGCACCCACTCCCCCTTGGGGATGCGGAATCATCAAAGTTTCCTTGCATGTCCTTAGTGTCGGGCAGGTTCGCGACAAGGCACCCACTCCTCATCACTCCGTCAAGGATGGGGAACCCAATATTCAATTTGATGAAAAAAATGGTCACAAGGATATACTGAATATCAACCAAATGGTAAATTTCCAAAAGTATCTAAATTATCTTTAATTTTCAAAAATGTAATTTTATAAAAAATTTGGAAAATTTATTACGTTTATTTTATTTTGAAAACTTATTGAAATTTATTTTTAAACTTTTATTAAATAATTTATTTTCTTTTTAAATGGTTTACTAACAAAGTTACACTAATTTATCTTATAGTTTCTAATATAAACTAATTAATAATTTCGTTTTTCTAATATTTAACTAATTTATCTTAATAAATTTTGTAATTATTGGTTCAAATTACAGTTTTCCCTTTCCCATACTCATTTAGCTTTAATAATTCACAATAATTTACAATGAAAATTACACAAGTTTTCAATAATTTTCCAAAATATTCCAATAATTTTCAATAATTATTTACTACATTTTAAATAAACTTCCAAAAATGTTCCAAAAGTACAATAATATATCTTTTATTTTCCAATATAAATTAATTAATATTTTCATTTTTCAAGATTATAATATTTTATTCCCCCATCTGCATTCGATTATTAACTATAATAATAGAAATAACTAAAAATTTTATACATTTTGATAGTTGTTAAATATAATTCTCAATTTTATAGAAATTATTTAAAGAGTTTTTTACTTCTACAAAATTTTGTTAATTAATATGAATATAACAGTATTTACCTAAAATGCATTAAAAAGTTATGACGAATTAATTAATAACTGTATTTATTAATTTTTGGTAATAACAATTTAATGCTCATTGAATATGGATTGGATTAAATATTAACCAAGTTTAACTATTTATTAATTAACATGAATATTTTAAATGAGAGAGAGAGTAGATATAGATTGGGGGGAGGGATTTGAATTGATTGGGGATTGGGGTACCTAATGGGTTAGAGGAGATATCTAAGGAGAGAGATTGTAGGAATATTTTTAGGTAATTGGATTGGAAATACTGAGGGGGAGTCTGGTGACTTGGCTTATTGGGAGTAGGGGAAATGGAAGAAGAGAGAGAGTCAACGAGAATGCAAGGTGGGAGTAATGGAGCAAGGAGAGGCATAAGTCTAGTAATTTTCTCCTTTTTTTGAATTTTTTGAATTTTTATTCCATGTTATTTTTGAAACAACTAATGGGAGACTCCTTTTTTTATTAATTTCTCTCTCACACATGTTCCCAATAACCTAAATAATCTCATCTACTAAAATTTCTCCTAAATTAGCTTCCCACCTAATTAATCTCCTCTCTAACAACCAATAGATAAAGAAAGAGGGATTTGCCTTTTTAGTGTCTAGCCAAGTGGCACCACTAGCCCCCACTTTCTCCTAAATTATCTCTAATTCCTATTTATCCTCACATCCACATTT